GAACTCGGCCAACAATCTAAACAACAAGACTGAGAAATAAATTACCATCTCTCTTTTGCCAACTCCAAGCACTCACAACAAAGGGAGGGAAACAAATTTCACCTTAATAAATGGCATTTCATTGGAAATGTAACCAGTGTATTTTAGTGTACCCTGTGCGGTCCCGAAAGCGCTTGTTTGGTCATATGACAAAAAACTTCAATAAATGAAGCTTTTGCTATCTTAAAAGGATTGGTGTGCTGGTGACATTTCTACAATTGCTGACATTCGCGGCACCATCCGTGGTCACTGCGAGCACCCCCCACTACAAGGGACATATCGGTAAGGAGTGCGACAAGGATAGTACTTTTTGTCTTGACATGGTCGCACTTTGGCACATAAGAGGTGCATGTGAATGTACAGTATATTTAATATTTCAGTTATAGGCTTGTATTTCTAATAGCCCTGCACTATTTAGTGCATGCAACCACATGTCATAGGGATGATCTAAGAGCCCTTCTGCCTCTTTTCCCATTTTATAGTAGGAGCATGTCCTAAGTTGGGAACGCTGTGTGGTTTCCGACATCATTTCAAATATATTTAGCAAAACCCTGTTTAAATAACATTTTTGAAAAATATTTTTTTTTTAATGTGCTGGCTATCTGGTCATTGTGCTGGAGAATTGTTTGTTCTGTGGACAGCCCTGCCTACCTTACTTAAAAAGCTAGTTATAAATTGATCAGAGTAGGTGCATTTTTTACTTTGTAGGATTTGGTGCAGATACACACTGGAGGTCTTCAGCTGCCAAAGAGCATTGTTGGGCTTTTGGTGTGTCTGTGCACTTTGTAAGGAGGATGAGGCTGCCTCCAAGACATAACTTCTCTCAGTGTATTTATTTCTATACATGTCCCACTTGGGAACTATGGTAGAGTAGAGTTAAGGATGGGTCTTTGTAGAGGGGCCATGATGCTGCAGCGTGGCTTCACATATTTCTGCACATTTATGCAACGAAAAGTTTGGTGAACTTTAGGTGAATTTTTATTGTTTATGAAATCCCAACGCATTTACCCAACTCAGCTCCGACACATATGCGTTGCAGCACACCACAACTCATGTCAACAAACCACTAAAATGGATATGCAGCAGGGGCGAATCCAGAGTCTAGTCTTGGGAGGGGCACTGCCAGAAAAGGTGTTACTCACAGAAAAGAATATTGCAATAATACATTACGTTGGAGATGTTTGTTATATATAACAAATGTGCCTTGTTTTGTACACATCCTAACACTTGTGTGGAGGAATGGAATCTCTGCCAAAGAACATTTGGCACATTACTGTCATTAAACTGGGTCTGTAATCCACACTACACATTACTGGGAGTTTTATTACTGTGGAGTCTGTCCACGCCCAGTGAAAAGGATGGAGGGCCCCAGGATGCAGGAATGGGGACCTTATAACAGGCAATGTCAGCAGTTAAAGGGGCCCCCTTCCTCCTGTCCGGCCCCCTCCCCAAGTGGCAGAATGCTAGGGCCCAGTTGCGACTGCTGTGACCCTGGTAGTTCCCCCACTGTACAGAGAACTACAAATCCCAGCAAATACATTATACAGCAATACAGAATACCACCGGATATAGAGGACTACAAATCCCAGCAATACAATATACAGCAATGCAAAATACCACCAGCTACAGGGCCTTCCTGTACCAGTCTTCACCCTCTCCAGGCCCCCCTGTACAAGTCTTTGCCCTCTCCGGGTTTAGACCCCGTTCACATGTAGCATACCTTTGCAGCGGCCGGGATAGCGCGACTTTCGGGGCGACGTTCTCCGTCGGGCTCCATAGAAAAAAAGCAAAATCCGCCGAAAAAAGGGTCCGGTAGAAGCGACTTGCGACGAGCGACATGGAGCTATGACAGCTCCATTGACTATCATTAGCCGGCGACTTCCCGCGATATCGCGCTGCAAAAATGCGCGATATCGCGGCGGAAATCGCGCGATAAGTCGCTACATGTGAACGGGGCCTTATACCTCTGGCCCCCTTCTGCCAGTCTTCACCCAACCCAGTACCAGCCTTCACCCACCCAGACACCCTATCCCCTCAGTACCAGACTTACCAGCAGCACATTCTCCTTGGCAGCCGGCCATTGGAGCACAGGAGCGGGTCCTTGGTGAGCGCCTCCCACTCAGCGGGAAATTGTGCTTCCTGGTAGTGCCTGCAGAGTGGCGGCGGAAGGGCATGCAAAAACTAAACCTCAGCTTTATTTGAGTTTATTGTCCTAAAAATGCATTGACAGGTTTTAACAGTGCTCACAGTTAAGTGCACTTTGAATATTTGTTAAGTGCACTCTGAATCAATCGTTCACTGCATGGTTGGAACTCTGGTCTCCAAAATTTTTCGGAGACTTTCAATCTCAGCTGGAGTGCTTTGGCAGCAGCCTCCTGTAATAATAAACATAGATATATCAACAGAGATTAAAAATCATCATTAACAAGTTTAAGAAATGTTTCATAATCTTAAAAGCAGAACTTTGGGACCATCAAATTGAACCATTGCAGTTAGGCTACCTCGGCCCAGCAAGGGTTAAATGTACGTTTTGTCTAGGGAGCAAAAATAACAAATATATACTCTCCGGAACCATGATCCCGGCTGGCTCTTAGACCAATCCCTTCAGTCTTGCTACCCCTCTGCTCCAGTGGTTTAAGGTCCTGTTAGTCATCAAGTCCTATACAGTATATTGAATGTGAGGACGCCGAGGGACATTCCAGAGGAGGAGATAGACTGGAAGGAGTGGTGTAAAAGCCAAGCTGGGATAATGGTTTGGGGGGAGTATAACTTTGTTATTTTAGCTCCACAGACCAAATAACCACTTAAGCCTTGCAGTGCAAAGGTTAAAATTTGCAATGCCCAAAGTTCTGCTTTAAAATTTTATAGTTGTTCAGATATCTAAACAACGCATGTTAACAATAAAGAGGCTACTAATACGCAAAGTAGCTGATCTTCTAAAGCATATACCAAGAACAATTTGTTTTGTATGTGTACCCCCAGCCCCCAATATAGCATCATCATGATCATTTTCCTTATTTGGATGTCTCAGCTATGATGTACTAAAAGAAGGAGAGTGGCTAAACACTACTTCTAATTTGTTGAACTCTTCCCCCTAGTATGAGTGTTATAGCCATGAGCCAGGAGTATCCTATAAAAAAAATATATTTTTTTTACAAAAAGGATTGCATTCTAAAATGATGTAGGCGTTATGTTACATAGTTCAGATGCAAACGATTCTTAGTACAAGCCTCCAACAAACATTTTAGGTATTAAAAGACTGTCAAGTATAAAGTCAAATATGCTGTGGTGATATCAGCCAATTTAAATATAAAATCAACATTTATTTTTCTATTTATAATTTTTTTATACAAACATTAAACATATTCCACTAAATGAGCCGGCTTTGTGCGGGGTGAAAAGAAATCACATGAATGGGACTGAATAAAACCAAACTGGGTGAGGGCAACTTTTATGTATGATGTAACTTCGCTTGTAAGGAAAGTTCAGTTCATTCTAGCACATGCACATACTGTGGCCTTGTGTACAGAATCACAGTAAGGTGAGCATTAGCATGTAGGGGTGTTGGACAAGAGGTGCAAGAGAAGCCCCCTCATGAGCTTGGTCTCCACCCAGGTATATGACAGAACTATTTGAACTATTGTATTGTTTAGCAGAGCAGAACGATCATCAAGTCCTGCCAACTGTACATACACTGCAGATAACATACGTGCACAAGTGGTATAACTAGTGTCTCAGCAGGGAGATTTAGCTACCTGTATGAATACATGTAATGATGGAAACAGGTTTGGGAAATTATATGTACATACATACATACACATACATACATATATATACTGTTTATATTTTTTTTTAACATACACACACAATAGGGATGGACTGATACTAGTATTGGTGCCAATACCGAGTATTTGCACGAGTACTCCTATACTCTATATATTAGGTGTCTTGCTGCACTCCTTACCGGTATACGATGTTCCGCAAAATCCCGGTGGGTGCTCGTAGTGACCACGGATGGCGCCGTGAAGATATACAAGTTTGCAAAAGCATGTCACCAGCGCACCATTTAAGTGAAATCAACAAAAATCAATTAATGGAGTACCATCATTCTAGTACAAGCGCTTTCGGGGACACACAGGGTCCCCTTCATCAGGTCATTCTGAGCCTGATAATGGGGACCCTGTGCGGCCTCGAAAGCGCTTGTACTGGAATGACAGTACTCCATTAATAAATTGACTTTTGTTGATTTCGCTTAAATGGTGTGCTGGTGACATGCTTTTGCAAACTTGCTTCTATACTTACCCCCGATATGGGAACTTCCGGTCAGAGAAAGATTTCCTCTGACCAGCAGTGCTGCGGGGGAATGTGGAGCTGGCTTCCCGGCCAATCAGATAGCCAGCCGGCGGGTAATGACTTGCCTCCCGGCTTCCAGATTGGCCGGGAACCTGGCTTCCTAACCAATCAGTACTGAGCTGGCAAAACAACATGGAGCAGGCTTCCCGGGCAATCAAGAAGCTGGTTGGTGTGTCATTACCCGCTGCCCGGCTTCTTGATTGCCAAGGGAGCCGGCTCCATATTAGCGGAAGTACCGGTATCAGTACTCGGTATTGGCGAGTACCAAAAGATTAATATCGGTACAAGTACTCGATACTGAAAAACCAGAATCAGTGCATCCCTAATATACTGTATATTTACATCTTCATTGCAAGGTTTGAAACCAATTTTTTACTTCATAAAATATAAGAAAAAGCATCCTATACTTACCAATCCATCTAGCTCCTAACTGGAACCATTCAAGAGCATGTTCAGATAAAGGCTTTTCAATACTAGAACTTCGCCAGCTAGACAAACAACAGTGTGACATGAGTGAGTATTAACATGAAAAGATGGTCTTGAACACACTTTATTTATGTAAGAAAATAGTAGGTGGCTTTAAATAGTTATTCAAAAATCATTTCAACACTGCAAGCAGAACACATCTGGCAAATAAACATTTATACTGTACTGCAGTGCGTCATGTCAAAATGTAATTGTTTACACAGTTCATAGTTTTTGCATTAATTCCACTAGACTTTGTGCGCTCCAGGTAAGTGTGCTCCACATATACATGACAAATATGAAAATGCAACAGGCTTTGTGTCATTGACGGGACCTTTGAATTGAGAAAGTCTCATCAGTCACAGGGACTTTATAGAATTCAAGTGTGTCGCCCTCAATGCACTTGTAGTCCATTGAATCGTCTTCCCATCCGTGTTCCTGAATGTCCATATGGAAGCACAGATACGGACGGGAGGAAGAGTCTGCAGAACCCAGAGCATTGCACCCATGATCCACTGATCACAATGCTTTACTGGCTCCAATACAAAAATTACTAAATGCACATTTGTTTTCTTTTATTAAGAAGTATACATTTATTATTTTTTTCTTAAAAGGAGAACTATGGGGTTAAGGCTTTTCCCCATAGTGCTCCTTAGGGTAACGGAGGACACAAACTAGCGTCCTCCCGTCACCCTAAGCTCAGTATACCGCGAGCTGTAGCGGTAGCTATACTGAGATGCCGCAGCCGGAGCGGATCCCGACAATTATGTCTGGATCCGCCCAGCTGCGTGACTGACAGCTGGCTCTGCCTATCTAGAGGCAGAGCCAGCTGTACCCGCCCCCTCCCAATCCGCCAGTCAGCGCTGGCGGATCGGAGCGGGGGGAATCCAGCCCCTCCCCTGTCACGGCAGAGAGCTGTGACAGGATCGAGAAGTGAGCAAACGCTGGTATGTGTTCGCTCACCTCCCGATCTACTGAGCCGACCTGTGACAGTCTCATTGTCACAGGTCGGCTAGATTTATGAGGTGAGTGAAAAGCACTCACCTCATAGTTCTCCTTTAAAAGGTAGAAGATCACGTTAAAACTGGACATCAGCCAAAAACTTTTTAGAGAGTTTTCACTAGTGGGTAAAGGTCAGAATTGATGTCAGTTTTTTTTTTTTTTTTTTCTTTATTTATAAAAGGTAGGCAAGGAATACACTATACAAACAGCCACAAAGGGTCAAAAACAAAGTGGTAACAGTAATAACCAGGATATTCTCATCTTAGTGGCAAATAGTCAGGCATTGTAACAATGTCAAAGCTATGTATAAGATGGGATTCCAGTGCATCAAAACTTTTAAACTATGATATAAAGAGAGAGGGAAAGAAGATGCTGTCAGGTTTTTATGTTTTTATCAATGTAACTCCATGGTGGCTCTACTGGGACGATGTCCCCTCACTTTTCATTCATGTGATATCAAAAAGAAATAAGAGAACTGTAAAGTAAGTTTTAACACTTCCTGCTATCTCTGTTTTCCATGAATAGTTTGTCCATAGCGTCCTGAGCCTCCACCCCCCCCCCCCCCCGACCACCGGGCCACAGGGGGGGGGGAGGGAGCA